CACAAAACCATCAATTAAACACTCATACTTCTTACCTTCTGACGGCACATCAAATTCACATAACTATTCACACGTGAAGTCTTGCTTTCAATCGACATGCGACAATCATGTGTATTAATCAAGAACACGTCATACCACATAATTCATGCACAATGCATCCACACGTGTTCCGATTATTACGACTGCTCAAGGCCATGACCAACACTCGCGTTGGTGGTCTTCCGGCGTAACCAGGCATCGTCCCGCTCCATCGGGCACGACATCATCTCGACCTCACTCGAAGATGGCATTCAATTAGGAGCATCGTTCTGACCTCCATTGCGAACGGCAACCAAAATCCATCGAGCATCCGAAATCTATTGAGCATCGTCCCTCGCAATCATACGAGTAGAACCATTTATGTGATCAAGTAAGCATATCAATCACTCAAGCCAATTATTATCTTCTACTTAGGCTAATGCAAGAGTGTTTCATGCTCACGCACTTAGAACATCTAAATTTCGAACACATAAAATGTACTAGAGTAATTGCACGTGAAAGAAAAAAGTGCATATATAAAATTGGGGTAAACCTGGGCAGATTGCACAGTAACCGAAATTCTTCCAAAATAAATAGTAAATGAACTCCAAAAATTCTAAATTTTGAATATACAATAGAAAACACCTTGATAAACATTTCTTATGAAGAACACAAAACTCTGTTCAATCTGCAATCATGTCTTTTTGACACTCAAAGCCAGACTGAAATCAACTCGTTCGAACAGACTACTTGGTCCTCAAAATACATCTCTTTCAGTACCTAAATCACTTTAAAAAGCTTCAAAATTTTTATATGTCATATAAAAAATTTCTTAACAACTTTTGTGGGGGAATCTTGTTGAAAATAGATCTAGAAAAATTTATAAAAATCCGGAAAGACAAGAAGGTCAGAGAAACAGCATTCCAGGGCAGTTTAAACACGGTCTGAAGATGGGCTTTCGTGTGACCCAAATAACCTCCAAAAATTCCAAATTTAAAATATGTTAAACTTCAAGATGTGAGGAACAACTTTTGTGGGAACACCACTTCATATTCGGCCCACAAAAGTCTCTACAAAATAGTAAACCGAAGAGGTATAGTAATAACAAATCCGGGTTTCAAACCAAACTTCAAAGATTCAAGCCCTAGTTGATACCCATCAATCTTCAGCCCACAAAACTCATTCCACCATGTCCAAACCATCATGCAATAGCCACTTGAATATCCATAAACACATATGAGGAATCAAGCTCAACCAAGACTAACCTAGGACCGATATGCATAGAATAACACCCTAACCAAGGTTTAGAAGAACCACTAACTAAACCGTTGGAACTATGAGCGAAGATGGACAAATGGTGATGACGAACGAGCAACGACACGGCACGGTTGGCGACGGTCAATGGTGAGCGTAGAGTGGCTTGGCATGGCGTGAACGATAGCAAGGCGACGAGCAGCGTGGCACGGTGGTAGTGATGGCATGAGTGAGGGAGAGAAGAGAGGGAGAGGAAGAGAGAAAATGAGAGAAATGAGAGTGTTATCCTATGGTGTTCTTGCAAGGGAGAGAGAGAGAGAGAGAGAGAGAGAGAGAGAGAGAGAGAGAGAGAGAGAGAGAGACTAATAATACACTTGCACTTATGGCCCTAGGCTTAGGGTAGCTTAGCCTTTAAAATATCTCCCTCGCATCCCAACCCTTAGGTAATCATACCTACTAAATTAGGCACATGCAAGAAGTTCAAAGGGAAGACAATTCTAGAAGCTAACAAGTGGGCCCCCTTCCCTATCCCCCCCTCGCCCCCCCCCCCAAAAAAAAAAAAGGTGCCATCAAGCCATTCGAATGAGACCAAAAATTTGTCTCATCTCCGTCAAGGCTTCTAGAAGTTGCACATAAATGAAAACTATATGTTAATCAAATATATGACACCAATCAAGCACATTGTACAATAATGTGCAACATTCAAATAATTAATCAAGATTCAATGTGGTAGGATGGCCTTACCTTCTTGATTAGCACCTAAACGAGTCCGAATAAATCCAATATTGCGTAATTAATTGGCGTCGGATTGAGGATGTCACATTTCAAATAACAAATAGGGTAATAAATGCTCGATCCGAAGTTATGCCTTCAACATCACTTTTCTTCTTTAGCCAAATCACACTTTGCACATAATGTCTCATACTTTTCATTTTGAAAATATGAATTTACATACTCAAAGAAGAGATAACACAACTCACCTGAGAACACCTACGACCAAACAACAAAGATTACTAGAACCGTGGAACTCGCGATTCTATCAAATAAGCGAGAAACAACATTAAAATTGAGTAAAACTCTACCTCAACTACAACTCGATTAAATCAAGCTTAACTGCTAACAAAACGACTTAAAGGTGTCCACAAATTGCTCTTATAAAGCAATTATCAAAACCGTCCGCAACACAGAACTTGAGTGCAAAACTTGATCGTGCTATCGAATCCCATTCTAAGCAAACTTGTAATCAAAAGAAAGCCCATTCAGGGAACTACAAGACTCTCAACTTAGGCTGCGCATGACAACGATTCTGTGCTCGGAATTGATTTTGAGCATTTTAAGGCGTTTGTTAACGGCCCAAAATTCCATCCTTGGAATAGAAAAACAACAGAAATGCGTTTGGTAACGCCACAAAATTTCTTTTTATTAATAATATTTTTAAATATTTTAATATTTCTTTCTTTTTTTCTTTTCCTCCTTCTTGGCCATGGCCTGCTCGCCGGCCATGACCGGTAAAATATTTTTTTTATTAATAATATTTTTATTAAAAGTATTTTTTTCATTTTTTTGGCCATGGCCTAGTCGCCAGCCATGACCGGTAAAATATTTTTTTTATTAATAATTTTTTTATTAAAATATTTTTATGCCATGGCCTGATCGCCGGCCATGGCTAGTAAAATATTTTTTTTATTAAAAATATATTTTTTTCTTTTTTTTTTGCCATGGCCTGTAAAATATTTTTTTATTAATACTATTTTTTATTAAAATATTTTTTTATTAATACTATTTTTTATTAAAATATTTTTATTAAAAATATACATTTTTTTTGCCATGGCTTGGTCGCTGGCCGTGACCGGTAAAATATGGTTTTTATTAATTATATTTTTATTAAAAATATTTTTTTTCTTTTTTTGCCATGGCCTAGTCACCAGCCATGGCAGGTAAAATAATTTTTTTATTAATAATATTTTTTATTAAAATATTTTTATTAAAAATATATTTTTTCTTTTTTTTGGCCATGGCCGGTAAAATATTTTTTATTTTAATAATATTTTTTATTAATAATATTTTTATTAAAATATTTTATTCTCGTCAGATCCGACGAAGGCGGTCCTCGAGCCGGACATTAGAAGCTACATTAAAAACCAAGAAAAGGAAGAAGAAAAAAAAATTGATTCTCAAAATTGTTCCCAGAATCAAGAAGCTACATTTTTTTTATTCTTGAAAATTGATTCTGGGAACAATTTTTGACAAAATTGTGCCAAGAATCAAAAAATTAAACAAACGCATTTCTGTTCCCAAACTGATTTTGGGAACAAAAGAACAGAATCAAACACTAATTGGCAAGTTGTGATGCGCAGCCTTAGCTGACCACAAAGTGGACCATAAAGCGATAAAAATCGCCATCGCGCACTATTCATCAGTCACAACCAACTTCAAAATTTCGTTTCAGACAAGTCGCAAGCTCAAATCGAGTTCCGTAAAATCTCACAATCTCATATCAACCTAAACTACCATTTCTATATATTTCGTAGCTCAATAACTCAAAAATCGAACTACGTGGCTTGATTTTCACAAAACTTCGAAATTGTGCCACAATTCCAAAAAATACTTCGATTGGACAAACGAGAGGCACGAATACTTACCGGGTGTTGCGATACGAAGTAACTCCTGCTTGACGACACTCCCGTGGCATGTAGCGCGAAATCCCTCTTCCTTTTTTTTCTTTTATTCTTCCTCTTTACCTTTCTCTCTTTTCTTTCCTCTCTTTTCTTCTTTTCTGCGTGCATGCTCTCAACCTCTTAATAGAGCTGAAGCACTCCACTGCTCCCTTTTTGCTTTTGACTTTTCAACATTTTCTTTTTGTTTCTTTGCTTTTCCACCTTTGCCCTTTTAACCTTGAAACCCATATTTTACAATTGAGTTAATACCACCAAAAATGCTAAACTAATACACATGTGACAAATTTATCTTAAATTAATTTTTTTTTATCACGAAAAATCTTAAACTGATACACCCGTGACAAATTTACCTCGAATTAATGTTTTGACCACCAAAAATCCCAAACTGATATATCTTTGATAAATTTACTCTTCATTAAATTAAATTAATACTACGAAAAATCACAAATTGATAAACCTGTAACAAACAGAAAGGTAAAATCCCAAACTGGTACACCCGTCAACTGTGCCATTCAAATCATCAATTTAGCGAAAATTAACGGAGGGTAAATTTGTCATAAATATATCAATTTGAGATTTTTAGTGGTATTAACTTTTTTACGATTCGACCAGAGATGTCTAAAGTGGTTCAAATGTGCAAAAGCCAGTTTCCATAGCGAGACCCTAGTACAAGGAGTAGTTGGAGTCAAAGTGAGTGTGACTCAACTCCGTACCACTCCACTCTTTCCCTTCTCCTTCTCGTCTGGGGATTGCTCCATGACAGGCATGTCAATGCTACATCATCACTAGGGGTGTCAATGAGTCGGGTCGGGTCAGGCTTTCTTGATACCCGACCCGACCCGAAACCTACAGGGTCATGCTTGACCCGCCCAGACCCACCCAAGACCCTGTTCACCATACACCCCAAGGCCCGTGCCGGGCCGGGTCGGGTCGGGCCGGGCTTCGGGTTTTTGTTTTTTTTTTTTTTTTCGCACAGATAGTAACATCAAAAGGCAGAAGACAATTCTCATAAAGAAAAATTTCTACATAGAGTAATCACCATCACGGAGAGACATGGTTCACGATGCTTGGGTCGTATTATTACAAGTCTATCTTAATATCAGTACACATGCTAAACAATTGATACACTTCTAGCTCCCGATTGAATAATGCAAGTTGTTCTTTGATGTTATCAAAAGACAGAAGCTCATGTGAAATATCCAGCTCAAGGAAGCGTTTTGCCTCTCAATAATCATCATCCACCACTCCCGTCTTCAAGAAAAACACCATTAGAACATAAACATAACTCTTTTCGCTCTGAAAACTGACATTTCTATCTTCAATGCTGCTCCATCAAATGTCCCTGTTCTCCATCTCGGTAGGAGAAAAGCACCAAGTTAGGCAAGGATAATGCTTTCAACAAGCTAGATAATGGAAGAGACGGAAAGAGGGGGCTACTCAAGCGTGTGACAACATTAATCGTATGAAGAAAACTACTCGATAAAGAAAAAGTTGGGAGGGAGAACGCGGAAAGCTTGGGAAAGCATTTCCTCTCAATATTCCACTGCAGCAGTTCATCCAAGTGTTTACGCCATCTATGGGTTACTCCCTAAAATCAGTCCATCGTAGGACAGTTGGACAATACAATTCGATAAAGGAGAAAACTTCAACTTACTTCTTTCATCCGTGTATAAATCATAACATTTGCGCCTCAAAGTGTTGCACGATGGGATTAAGAAATTTGGCTGGATTTTGTTCACAAATCACCAAAATCCCTCATGCTCTACCAACTTGAAAGGCAATTCATCAAAAATAAACATGATCGCCAATTCTTTTCCACTATCATCTTGGTCAAATTTCCAAGGACCCGAGTCATTTTTTTGCCTTTTCTCGACATTTGCATATGGGAATTCCTTACATCTAGCTAAATGACGATGCATCAAACTGGTCCCTTGACCACTAGCACAATCAATACAGGCCCCACAGTATATACATTTAGCCTTTTCTTCATCAGGAATATGTTTAAAGTGTTCCCATACCGAAGATCTTGTCCTTCTTTGTGTTACACTAGAAGCACTTGTCTCAGACATTTAGCAATCCTTTTATCTATGACACTTAGAACCTGGAAAGTATTACTATAATCAGAAATGTAGTCCTCAACATACTCTTGACAAATACAAATGGATACCAAACAAAAAGATGCCTCTCCTGTTAAGGTAGATGGTGCTTAAAATATCCCAGGATAGATAATTAAAGTTCCATCATGATACTTTTATCTGAACAAGGAAGAAGATTATCAGCATAGCAGGAAAAAGAGGTACAAAATGAGAAAAACACTTCCGTTGGTTTCTTCTAATTAACATTGTTGACAAATTAATATAACATCGAACTTCTATTAGCCTTTCTCATGAAACCAGGCAGAATTTGATGCTTTTCAAGTGGACCTTTGATCTTATTAATGAAGTTTATTGATGTGCATGATGCTAAATGAAAAAAGTCCACATACACGAAATGCCATTGTCTAAAGCAACCAACCAAACAACCTGAAACCTTCAGTTTTAAAAAGCTGATACATTTTCTGTTTAAAGTATTGATATGCTCATAATTACCTTCTGATCATCATGCTTCACCATCGATTTTACATCTCTAAAACTGGCTTCTAAGTCATTCTCAACAAAAGTTTTGACATAACAAAACCAAGAACAGATTCTGATCCCAGAAACATCTCAAGAGTTGTCATTTCTACTCCAAATTATTGATTACAGGATAACTAATTTAGAAGATGTTGAATTCCCAAATTCTATCACAGATAGAGATATAACAAAACATTAAGCAGGGCATAAAAATTAATTACTATCAGAAATGATAAGAAAGAGAGCTGCAGGTTAAAGTGATATGAAATGAGATAGGAAAATGCAGAGATTGCAAAATCATGCAAATGTCGTCTCTGCTAAAACAACTTACAATTAAATTAGCCAATGATATATTGTCGTCCAACTTTGGTATGTCACGCAAGTCAACTGGAAGGAGCTTGTAATGTTCACTAATCACTTTTCCCTTTTCTACACAAGTTAAAGCAAGCTTAAGATCATTAAAACAGCCAAAAAGAACAAAATAATCAACACATAATAAAATTTTAGACATTCTCTTCAAGCTGATGATTCTACAATTCGCAAGAGATAAGGTAAAATCAAGACCAAACACTGCTCCATAACTTCCCCAAACAGTAAACTTCTTGAACCCAGTGGCATGCATGATATATATAGTAAGGGAAAAGTGCCAAAAAAAGTCCTAAACCTTTTGCATTAGTGCCAATTCAGTCCTAAACCTTTTGCATTGGTGCCAATTTAGTCCTAAATCTTTTTTTGGTGCCAATTCAGTCCTAAACCTTTTAAATTGGTGCCAATTCAGTCCTAAACCTTTTGTTTTTGTACCAATTTAGTCCTTCCGGTCAATTTTGACCGGATTTTGCCGACGTGGATGCCTGCCGGCCAGTCACCGGCGCTGACGTGGCGTCGACATGAACAATTTTAATATTATTTTGAATTTTTATTTTTTTTCCTTTTTTTCCTTTTTTTTTCCACTTTTTTTTTTTGGCCTCTCCCTCATCCCTCTGGCCGGTAGCCGGTCCGGCGACCGGCCAAAGGCCAGAGGCCGGCGAGCTCGACCTCGCCGGCCACTGGCGAGGGCGGCCTCGCCCGGCGAGGGCGAGCCTCGCCTTGGTCGGATGAGGCTCGACCTCCCCAGATCCGGCGAGGTCGGGCCTCGCCGACCATGGCGAGGCCCGACCTCGCCGGATCTGGTGAGGTCGAGCCTCGCCCGGCGACCTCGCCAGATCCAGCGAGGTCGAGCCTCGCCCGACCATGGCGAGGCTCGCCTCGCCACGGCCTCCGGTGAGGGCTCGAGCCTCGCCTTGGTCGGGCGAGGCTCAACCTTGCCAGATCTGGCGAGGTCGGGCCTCGCCCGACCAAGGCGAGGCTCAAGCCCTCGCCGGATCTGGCGAGGTCGAGCCTCACTCGACCAAGGTGAGGCCCGCCCTCGCCAGTGGCCGACGAGGTCGAGCTCGCCGGCCTTTGGCCTCTGGCCGGTCGCCGGACCGGCGACCGGCCAGAGGGAGGAGGGAGAGACCAAAAAAAAAAAAGAGGAAAAAAAAAATAAATATTAAAAAATATTAAAATTGTCCACGTCGGCGCCACGTCAGCGCCTGTGACCGGCCGCCGGCCGGCAGGTGTCCACATCGATAAAATCCGGTCAAAATTGACCGGAATGACTAAATTGGCACAAAAATAAAAAGTTTAGGACTGATTTGGCACCAATTTAAAAGGTTTAGGACTGAATTGCCACCAAAAAAAGGTTTAGGACTAAATTGGCATCAATGCAAAAGGTTTAGGACTGAATTGGCACCAAAAAAGGTTTAGGACTAAATTGGCACTAATGCAAAAGGTTTAGGACTTTTTTGGCACTTTTCCCTATTTAGTAACAATGGCGACGGCATCACCTCACGTTATATTGATGGCTAGTGGACACAAAGAAAGAACCATATTTTCATAATCGTCATATCCTTCAGATAAAGGGTACAGAAAAGGCTACTATTTTGAAGGGAAAGTCCCTGCAATCTAGAATCACAAACTAATTAAAGATGAATACATTTTACTCATCTCTTCCCACCTCCAGTTTTTAAGATGATTCCAGGGAACTTTCTCGCTTTCGTTCTTTCAACGACCTAACACAGATGAAGATATTGCGACCGGCATACGGGGGGCAATAACAACAAAAGTTCTCACTTAATTACTAATCATATTGCACCACTCATACCACTTCCACAACAAAAATTGCATAAAGCTGAGCAAACTGCAACCGCTCCAACTCCTCCAGACATTACAGAAATCCCCACCGCACAATTCTATCAAACGAAATTGACCCACAAAAGTCACACCCGTTAACAACCACAGCTAGTTCGCGACAGCGCAATACAGCGACTCCATGGAAATTCATCTTCCAGAGAAAGGGAAAGGGACAAAGAGAGAGAGAGGGTGTAACCTGGACTTCTTGGAGAGGAGCTTGTTCTCGTTGATCTTGCGGCCGCCGCCCTCGGTGGTGTTGTTGGCTCCGTCCTTTCACTTGTCCGGCACTATCACTTGAACCCAAAATTCAGACACCCAATCAGAGACACCCAACACACACGAAATCCGCAGAACGCGATTGATATCACGCTCCACAGCTGCTTTGTACAAGCAATTCGTTCCCTTCGCCGGAGCGCGAACGGAAGGGCGGGAGCTCGCGAGCGCAAGCGATCGTGGAGCAAAAGGGAGCAGATCGAGGACGCTAGGGCAAGCGGAGCGAAAAGGACAACAACAAAGGCGAACCCTAACAGAGGCATTGCAGAGCTAGAGAGAGAGAGAGAGAGAGAGAGAGAGAGAGAGAGAGAGAGAGAGAGAGAGAGAGAGAGAGAGAGAGACCGACCTCAAGCGACGGCGACGAGCGAAGGATGCAGAGAGATGATTGACGGGGGTAGAGACGAGAGCAGACGAGGCAAGGCGAGGCGAGAGAGCGTCCGAAGGCGATGGCGATTGGCGACTAAGAGTCTGAGAGAGGGAGATGGGCCAGCCCAGAGTGTTAATGGGTCAGCCTGACCCTACCCAACCCTAACGAAACCTCAAATTTTAGGGCCATATTCGAAGAAGATTAAGACCCGACCCCAAAATACCCCAAATTTTAAGGCCGGACCGGGTCGACGCGGGTCGGGCCGGGCCGGCCCAGGTTTTATTGACACCCCTAATCATCACCATAGCCTTTTACCTTCGCTTATATGTTTCTCTTCCTAATCTCTATATGTTCCTTTCCACTTGCATTTGTATTATCTTTCTGTAATACTTTCCTCCGATTTTTTTTAGACGTATTTCATGTCCTTCGTGCAATGAATGCTATCTTGTACATTTGTTATTGAATTGAAAACTAGAAAATGAAATAAAAATTCAAAGTGTCACCTTTTAATCTATCAAATTCATGGTGAATTAATTTTTAAGTTAGTAAGAAAGTACTATTGTTCTAACGAAAATTAAAGGCCACAATAAAAGTTGTCCTTAGGATCAGTCGCACATGTATCTTCATGCACATCAATCCTTGTATATACAAGAAAATCCAAGTTGTTGGCACTTTGATTCTCTGCCTGCATATTTCAAATTTGTTTCTCTGCTTGCAGAGGAGGATATGGTTGGACTAGTTGGCTTTGACTTTCTTCTCTGCAAGGTAAACTCATATGAAGCTTTCAAGAAGTTTCTCGGTGATGGGAGTCATCAATACGAAAGCCAGTCGTGGGTGAGACAGGCACAATCCCAATCGCCACATATCGAGAGAACCACCAAGCTTATACGATCCATTTGTATTTGAGAAGAATCTACTTTTTCCTCCCTTTTAGATGGTATTCAATCTCCGAACCTTCAGTTTTACTGAGTCCGTTGAAGATGATCCAACACCTCCTAAAAGTTTCTCTCTAAAGGAGCTCAGAATCGCAACACACAACTTTAGCCGCGACAACTTGTTGCATGAAGGTATAATTGGCAAGGTTTACCGTGGGCGCTTGGCCGATGGTTTGCTAGTGGCAGTAAAGAGAGCGATCTCTGTCAATCAATGGATGGAAGAGCTGTTCAAAGCGCAAGTGCAAGTGGGAAGGACGGTTTCGATGCACCGAAACGTGCTATACCTAAGGGGCTTTTGCAGGACCAAGAAAGAGCTTTTACTGGTCTATCCCTTGATGATCAACAACAGCCTAAGTTATCATCTTGAACGTAGACCGGATCGGTCCACCCAACCTCTCGATTGGACGACTCGCAAGCGTATAGCCTTGGGAGTGGCAAGAGGTCTTGCGCACCTACATGATCAAGGCAACCTCAATATCATGCACCGAGACATTTGCACATCAAGTATATTGCTGGATACCCAATTTGAGGCTGTGATAGGAGGTTTTTGGCGTGCCCTTATCGTACCTTACGGAAATGCAAAGAAAGAGACCATTCAATGGCCCAGAGTCGAGCACCCCATGAGAGTCTCATCCTCATCCCAAGGAGAAGATTCAGATGATTTTGATTCCTATTCTCAAACATATGACCTCTATGAAGAGATTTATGTTGACACCACCTATGTCTGCGGCAGACTTGGGTTCATTGCCCCAGAGTACCTGCACACACGAAAGTGCACATTGAAGAATGATGTTTTCGCCTATGGGAAAATGCTTCTTGAGCTCATCTCTGGACAGTCGATCTTAAAACTTGATGTGCTGGCTTATAATGAAAATCTCAGTTTGGAGGAATGGATAGGTGGCTTTATGAACAAGAACGAGTTGGAAAGAGTGATTGATCCCAATCTGCAGGGGAACTATGCGGAAGAAGAAGCAGAGCAGCTAGTCCGACTGGCATTGTTGTGCGCAGATGGCAATCCATCTGTCCGACCCAAGATGTCGAAAGTAGTTACGATGATCAAAAGCCAAATGAATAGGCAGGATCCTAGTAGCAGGATCAATTGGAGTGGAACCGAGTATGATTCAACTCCTTACTACTCCTTCCCTCCTTCTCCTTCTCTCTCATTGGAGACATGCTAAATCTTGATCGCCATTGTCTTCTACAATTTCCACTTTTGTTTGTATAATCTTTGTTATGTGACATATAGTATGTGCTTTACCTTTCATCACTTCGTATCCGTAATAGTGCGAAACCAAGTGTCGGCTATAAGTTGTTAAAGAACACTAGAATAGCGGGGTTGAGCTTCTAAACCCTTCGTCTTAGGATTAGTCAGTAATGACCACTGTGTTCTAAGATTTTCAAGGAAGTGAAAGCAAATGAAAGACTTATTCATAGTGTCGCCTTTTAATCCATCACACTTACTGCGTAAAGGAAAAAGAAACTCGTGAAGGAATGCCTATTTGTAATAAATCTTGACTCTTAGAGAAATCGGATGCCACCATCAAAGTAACAAAGCGTTTGGGAGGAATGACTTTCACATGCCTCAGTTGCGTTTGCATCTCAACACTTGAATTAGTTCTCAAATTCTAGAGGTGACCCATCTCCATGCATATGCACCCAGTACGACAACCGATACTGCTACAGTTAAAAGTGGAGTAGAGTGTGTCCAAATTTTTTGGTCGTACAGAGCCATCTGCAATCTTCACTTATTCGATTGTTTTTCGCAGTCCCCCGATTCACTAGTTTAGTCCCCCTACATCGCATGCTTTGTTTAGGGAAGAACATTTCAACAATCTGTTTTCCTACAATGTTTGTTCATCCCGGATATTTGAGTAGCACTTAGATGCGCATGCACACTGAGGTTGTGGACAGTTTTTTGGTACTCTGTTTTTCCCTCTACTTTTCAGAGCATCTACTAAGGCAGCATCATGTGATCATGCTTTTCCTTATTTGTTAAGGAAAGTCCAGTTTGTTGTCACTCTCTGCCTGCATTTTATAATTTGTCTCTGCTTTGAGAGAAGGATATGGTTGGACTTGTTGGTTTTTGACTTCTGCGCAGCGTGGAAACTCATGTGAAGCTTCCAAGAAATTTCTGGGTGAGGGGGATGGCCAAAACGGAGAACTAGTAAAATTAGGGAATAAAAGCGACGCAACTTCCTCCTTGCATTCCTGAGCCAGGTCCATTTCTTGGGCGCCATGGCTCAGGCCAAAGAATTTCCTCTTGCAGAGCCAATTCCATGTCCGAACCAAAAGTCTACTCCCGGACTTATCACACATAGCCTTCTTATCCTCAAGGAATTAATCATCTAAAAGACGTAATATTTCAATCTCTCTAGTTACGCAGAGTTGTAGTCCACGCGCACAGCCGCTTCTAATGGCTCGTACAATCCACCTGACCGCGATGTCATTTCTCCATCGGACCCAGCACAGAAAGTTATACGATCCGTGAAATTTTCATTTTTTTCGGAAACATTTGAGTCTTCTCTTATTCTCCAGAAGTTTCGAAACTTTTGAAAATTAATGGAAAATAGTTTTCTAGACATCCAAAAATTCTATAATTGATCTAGTCCATTCAAATAAATATTGGTGGTTTGGAATTCGGAGCATTTGAAAGGTTCAATACGATTATTGAAGAAAATAGACTAGCACATCGATATTTGGAAAAATATACTTTTTATTTGCTATCCGGAAAAATAAATTACTTCCTACAAAGAATGAATAGACCCAAATTTTGGAAAAAATATTCAGTGATTTAATATCATCACGTCATTCGCCTACATGGCATGTTTAAACTTACGTGGCTCCACTCAAAACGGGACATTTGTCCTCCGAGGTGGAATTAAAAAAGTGAACCGGAAGCTCTCCTGTCTCTCTGTCCTCTGGCCGAAAGAACTGACGCACGCAACAATCAATGCTGAATTTATTGGCTCTTTTCTCTCTCCCTCCTCTTTGTAAAAGAACTCATTTCAAGTCGTCCGTCAACAACGAGAAAATATTACGTGAGTGAGATATTCCACATCAGCCATGCATAACACCACTGAACGAATGACATGTGGCAAGCGGGCCCCACAGATCAGATTTATTAAAAAATCTAATCTGAGCGAATGACTTTCTCTCTCCCATCCTCCGGTCAGAGAGGGCCCATCCGGTCAGACCTCCAATCTTCAAGCCCAAAGCAAAACACGCGCACGTTCAAGAATGTCTCTGTACGTTCTGCCTCCTTCGTGCGGCTTGAATATGAGCGTCTCTGTACGTCTTGCTTTGTGCAGCTTTTGGTCTTCGCTCAAAGAAAGAAACCTTCAATTTCTTTTCTTTTTATATGCGGCAAAAAACCCTAGTTGTGCTTCTCCTTTTATCTGACTTCCGTGGCCCCACACGTTTCTTTTGCACGTCCAAGAAGGGAAGTCCCTCACTGATAAGCATTCAACAAATTGACCTGGGCCCACCGAAATAGATATAATAAAATAAAGTGTGCCCCTGTTTTGTCTTTTAGTGGCCTTCTCTATTCATGTCGTCGTGAGCCCCTCATCCGAAATCAGCCAAATAGGAATGCGGGCTCAAACTCGAGACATAAATTTAACAATTCTCCACCTTTGCTCGATGTTTGTAGCCAAGTTATAGTTTTCATCATTCATGCTAGCTCTCCCAACGCCTCGACGGGCGCTTACTCTCCATAGACGCCAATTGTGCTCAAGCAGAGCTTGAGCTTCGCCAAAGGAACAGGCTTAGTCATCATGTTCGCTGGGTTCTTCTCTGTCGTAATCTTTTTAACAACAACTACACCCTTCGCTAAGACATCTCGGATGAAGTGGTACATGATGTCGATATGCTTCGTTCGCTCGTGATAAACCGGATTATATGCCAGATATATCGCACCTTGGTTATCATAGTGTATATCAACACTATTCTGATCTAACCCAAAGTCCGAGAGTAAACCTTTTAGCCATATTGCCTCTTTCTCTATAAAGGTCAGTGCCATGTACTCTGCCTCAGTCGAAGACAAGGCAACGTGATCCTGTAAGGATACCTTCCAACTAACTACACCACCTGCTAGCGTAAATACGTACCCTGCTAAAGACCTGCGTTCATCCAAGTCACCTGCGTGATCTGAATCCACATAACCAGTGGTCTCACTGCCATTATTGTCCCTTCGGTACACAATTCCAATGTCTGATGTCCCCTTTAAATATCTGAGGATCCACTTCATAGCTTCCTAATGAGCTTTACCAGGTCGCTTCATATAACGGCTAACTACACTCACTGCTTGTGAAATATCGGGCCTAGTGCATACCATAGCATACATAATACTACCCACTGCACTAGAATAAGGAACACGTGACATATGCTCCTCCTCCTCCTCAGTCTGCGGTGATAACTTATCTGAAAGTTTAAAGTGCATCGCCAAAGGTGTACTTACAGATTTTGCTGACTGTATATTAAATCGTGCAACAATTTTCTCAATATATTTCTTCTGAGAAAGACATAAAATTCCTACAGTCCTGTCATGCAAAATCTCCATACCCAAAATTTTCTTTGCAGCACCTAAATCTTTCATCTCAAATTCAATACTCAATTGCCTCTTCAGCACAACAATATCAGACATATTCTTAGCTGCTATCAACATATCATCAACATATAATAACAGATATATCAAAGACCCATCCTCCAATCTCCTATAGTAAACACAGCTATCCATATGACTTTTAGAATAGTTCTGACTAGCCATAAAAAAATTGAAACGCTTATACCACTGTCTAGGAGACTGTTTCAGCCCATATAAAGATTTCTTCAATAAACAAACATGATGTTCCTTACCCGGAATAGCAAATCCCTCTGGTTGCCTCATGTAAATCCGTTCCTCCAACTCACCATGAAGAAACGCTATTTTCACTTCTAGCTGCTCCAGCTTAAGATCTTGTGCAGCAACTAAGGCAAGTAAAACACGAATAGAAGTATGTCTTACCACAGGAGAGAACACCTCATTGTAGTCAATGCCCTCCCGCTGTGTATACCCCTTCGCCACAAGTCTTGCCTTATATCTCGCTGCCTCGACACCGGGAATGCCCTCCTTCCGTTTAAAGACCCACTTGCTACCGACAATCTTCTAGCTCTTAGGTACTTTGACCAACTCCCATGTCTGATTCCGATGAAGTGATTCCATCTCTTCACTCATAGCCCCTAGCCACTGCGACGACTCAGAACTAGCCATCGCCTTAGAGTAAGACGAAAGCCTATCTGTCTCCACCTCGTCACCTACAGTCAATGCATAAGCAATATCTGTATAACCATAACGTACCGGTGGTTTAATTTGCCTTCTCTGTCTACCCACGGCTATAGTGTGTTGCGGCTCTGCTGATTGTTCATTATCACCGACTTCGGGAACTGTGGCCTGATTTGTAATCTCAGCTTTTGTTACCTTTGAGGTCTCTGGAGTCTCCACCTGAATCTCCACCTCACTGCTGACACCACGATCTGTATGCTCTGCTTGTTGTGTCTCAAGACCCCTCCTTTGAAGCATTGCAGTCTCATCGAAGATCACGTCTCTGCTGATTAGAAAACCGGGTGATCTGGGATCAGTGCACCACAGTCGATAGCCTTTCACCCCATGTGCATAACCCAGAAATATGCACTTCTTCGCCCTCGGCTCAAGCTTACCATCACTCGCATGAGCATACGCAGGACATTCGAATACTCGTAATCCGGAGTAATCAATAGGTTTTCCCGACCATACTTCCTCAGGAGTCTTCCACTCTATAGCAGATGATGGAGATCGATTAACCAAGTAACATACCATGTTCATTGCTTCGGCCCAAAATTCCTTGCCTAAACCTGCATGGGAAAGCATGCTTCGAGCTCGCTCCAATAAAGTTCTGTTCTTCCGTTCTGCAACGCCATTCTACTGTGGCGTCTTGGGCATTGTGCGGTGTCTCACAATCCCTTCTTTCTCACATAACTCGGTAAAATCTTTACCATAGAACTCCATGCCGTTATCGGTTCTTAGGCACTTGATCTGTTTATCTGACTGCTTCTCAATTAATGCCTTAAACTTCTTGAACCGATCAAACACATCATATTTGTGCTTAAGAAAGTATACCCATACCTTTCTCGAGTAGTCGTCGATAAATGTCAACATATATTA